TCGTTTGTTACAGTTGAACGTATTTACAGTAGGTGTATGCATGTTGTATGCACTGGTAATGTTATGTAGATGCATTTACGATCTGTGCTATTAAAGTAATATGTATCTGTTTATATTTTTATAATTATCTTGTCATTTATGCTGCTACGGACTGGGAAGCCTTGTTATGTGTTATTAGGTTTTTATTTCACTACTGTATTCCTAGGCCATAAAACTTGTATTTTGCACCTCGTATTCGAGATACTTGAGAGAGAATTGTTTCTAGCAATTTTTTTCGACTGACTAATAAATTTGTACGCTGTAACGTTTGCGAGTGAAATTTTTACCTGTTGGAACGAGTGGATATTTTAATTTAATTTTTTAATTCATTCAATATACCGACAGCACATGGACAGGATAATTCCATGGTTGTTAAAATATGTGAATTTGTATGATTGTAAATTTTTATTTTTATTCTGCATCTCACGAAGGAGTTTTATGCGATGATTATTTTTTTGTGTATATTTTGCACCTTCGTTTTCTTTTAACGTGTTGATTTCTTTATATAGTGTAGCGCTCGAAGCAAATTGGGCGGATTTGCGTGTGGAAATGTATGTTTTGATTATTGAAGCTTGCGATCAAGGTGACAGAAAGATGAGAGGTCAGTTCTTGGGTAGCCGTTAACGAAGGTACATCGGTGTCAAAGTTGATATTCTGCTGTACCAAATTATATACTATCGGTATGTATATTGTGAAGGTGCAATAAATTTTTGTGCAGCTTTCGCTAATATGCGTTAAAGTATTAAACTAGTGCAGTTGAACTCGGCGTGCACGTCGTAGTCCAGGAAATTCTCTACATATGTGACGTACGTTGTATGCAGTGTGTAGTAATCAAGCGAGCAACGGTTGAAGCAACAGTCCCGCCACAATAATACAGAAATATCCCACTGTCTGCATCTCTAATACATTACGGTATTGCAGTCAGAGTGCATGCGTCAGAATTCAATTTCCTTGACAATTATCACTGCATGGTGCACAAGTTTTCATTAGGGCGAACTCTCGCACATGGTGGTAGAGTGTCTGTGTATAATACAGTGCATAAGCACTATGGGTATAGGTCCGTATAACAATACCAAGGTAGAGCACTGCAACTGCAATAAATTACAATGCACTTTTAAGGGAATCCTTATACTCGTGACTATTTCCAAATTTACTCTTTCAGTCATAGGCAATATTAACATTTAATTAAATAATGTATTTTTCTGTACTCACGTGACAATCTCTATTTCTATTCTATAGAACTGATACATTTGTTTGCTGCAATCGTATCGAGTGCAGATATACGGTATAATTAGAATGTAGAAAAGTGCATAGTAAACTCAACACTGGGATTACGTGGAGAAGAGTGCGTGAAAGGAAGGGATTAAAGATCTCCTGCGGTGATATAAAATCGAGTCGGTTCGAGCAGGATCAAAGATCCAAGAAGAAGTACACTGTGTACGGTGCATCGCCACGGGACACCATCCTTGTGATGATTTCCGGCGACTTTATATATCCAAACATTAACGTCACTTTTGTAACCGTACGATAATCTGAAAACATAGGAAGCGAATAATTATGAAGAAACAATGCCTCAATGATCAGCTAGATCACTAACTAAGTGTTTTGTTTTGTTCTAGGTAAGTTGTGACCGGAGAGCGATAGTACTTAATCATCTGGTTCCATACTAGAGGTACGTCAGGATGACGTTTAGATGCGTACCGGCCTTTCAGACTCTTGGAAGTGCCGACTGCGGGACATCTTGGGTGAGTCACGTAATTCTCTTATAAAAATTACATAAGCTTCGATATCACATGAATTTATACTCGTTATAGTACAATCAGTGTGTCGTATTATCTGACAAAATAGTTAAATCCACGTACTTTTATGCCTTGTTGACACCGTTGCTAGGCAACGTCGTAAGCCGTCAACGCGCATGCGCGACTCTCGAATTAACCAAAGCGGATTCTTTGCTTCTTATTCGCGTTCTCTGTGCCATTACTTTGTTTCCTCTGCGAGCCCCCACTGGCACAGCAAGTAAATAACTCCTCGCCGTTTACTTACCCTGCCTCTCAGTTTATAATGGAGATTATCTTATTTGTGTTGAGACTCGAGACTCGTTCCAGTCTGCAAAGCAGTTCGAGCTTACTGAGAATTTCGAAGGGTGAAGAAAAGGGGGAAAGAAGAAGTCAGAGAAACATCGAATAAGGTTTGGACTGTTGTTATTGGGTGGTCAGGGGGGTGGCCGAGTAAGGGAGGTGAGCAAGGGATGGTAGAAGACCCATGATTATTACGTTACCTTATAGACGGCTATAAACCTGACTCTCTACTTTCGTCTCGCTGTCAAACAACGCGACTTAAATTTACCCTCACAATGGCTCACTTCGCCGTTAATTATTCTCGTTACATTTACTGAAACTGCTGTTGATGTAAAGTAATACCAGAATAATGCTCGAAGCACAGGTGGAGTATCTCCTTACAATGGCGCATAGTATAGATTTTAACAGCAGCAAGAGGAATCGCTCGCACAGCGTGACCGAGTTGTAATACGTAATACAAATGATCGTTATTATATTAGTTTCACCCACTCAGCAAGGGGTTAACCAATATACCCCCCATATATACGAGGCACTTATTACACGGTATTGATATGGGTAGAGAGTTCGTGCTGACGCGAATATAATTATTGGTAGGGCGATATGGGCTTATCAATTTTGTGCGGACTAAAGGAAAAGAAAAAAGAAACCTACGATTATTCGGACTTTTTTTTTATTTCCGTCACATCCGACACTGTATTCCCTTTACCGAATACGGAATACTCGATGATGGCCAGTTACAAGAGTCCACCCACTAGTCGCAAGCTGGTCTTATGCTTTCAGTAAAAGCCGCGCTCCGTTATTAATCGTCGGGTTGCCACTATGTTATTAGTACATTAGATGAAACCGGCCGCCATAACCCAAAGGCAAAATACGAGAGCGAGAATGAGGAGTCAGCGTGTGCGCGCACACGTATAAGAGAGGGCAGCACCGTACTCTTTCTCCTTCTCGCCCTTCGGACTCTCCTAACGTAAGTCAAGCAGTGATAAATGCCAAATGCCAGCTACGCCAGGGGGCAGCTTTTGTTCCGAGTGACACACGGCTCTAATTACTGCTATCAGTTAACGGATTGTGTACCTGTTGCACCAGAATCATCTATCAAATCGCGGCCCGGCCGAACGAAATCTCCGTTGGCCGAGAGTTCAGAGGATCTGGCCCAGATATCATTTTAACGCGATACGCATTTGAACGTAAGTAATGAACCCCGATAATTGCTGGTAATTACTGAAACACAAGGCACAATAATACAGCGTATACATGTGCACGTAGTCCGTAAGACCGTCTCAGCTTTCTAAGAGAAATAAACAAAGAGCATAATGACGTCCAAGTCGCTGGAACTTTTTGCCAGGTGAACATTCGAATACGCCGGGTAGAAGTCTGGGTGATTCTTGGAGGTATTAAAAAAAAAAAAAAAAAAAAAAA